TCCCCTCGGGGGCAACCTTTCGACGGGCGGTCCCCCCCCGCCCGCAGCCATGCGCGCCCTCTTCAACACACTCATCGCCCTGGTGGCCCTCTTCGCCATGGCCTCCTCGGCCTTCGCCATGCGCGACAACGATGGTGTGCGTACCCCCCCCCCCCCCTCTCGCCTGCCCCCGCCGAATGTGGCCGCTGACCCCCTCTTGCCCTCCTCCCGACCGGACCCACGGCCCCCTCCCTCTTCCCAGGGCGGCACCACCTGTGCCGTGTGCACCGTGGTCGTCGGCCTGGCCCAGCAGATGCAGGACCTGGCCACCGAGTCGGCGGCGTACAAGCGCTTCGTGCCGGCTCGGCAGATTGCCGCGGCCTACTGCAACAACATGGCCGCCGACAGCGGGCTGAACAAGATTTGCAAGCACTTCTTCTTCAACTCCATCGCCGGCCCGGGCCTGATGCGTGCCATCGACGCCAGCTACTTCTCCCAGGCCCCCATCTCGGCGGACCAGATCTGCCGCTCGGCCGGCTTCTGCACCAACTCCAAGTGCAACCTCTTCTCCAAGATGTCCCGCTCCCTGGGCGGCAGCAGCATGGCCGCCGTCGACGTCGAGCAGATGGCCAGCCCGGAGGAGGACGTCGACCCGGCGGTCTTCTCCGAGGACGCCGTGGCCGAGCGCGAGGAGCTGGTCCGGTCGCTGTGCGCCACGCGCACCTTCGCCCCCTTCTGCAACTGGGGCATGGAGGGCGACACCCACACCGCGCCGCTGGTCGACCAGGACAAGGACGGCATCGGCCCGACGGACGGCTCGCAGGTGGTCGTGCGCGGCTCCCAGTGGCGCGGCGCCGATTGCGACGACAAGAACCCCAATGTCTACCCCGGCCGCAAGGCCACCACCCTGGACGCCAAGGTGGACCACGACTGCAACGGCGTGGTTGGCATCGACTCGGCCACCAAGCGCTCCTACGAGGACCTCTTCTGCTCGGGCTTCCGCCGGATGGGTGTCATCGGCATCGGCGACTCGGCCACGGCGCACTTCCACATCCCGGACACCTGGCTCAATGCCACGACCATTTCGCGCGAGGCCTTCGACAGCCTGACCTTCATTGCCACCAACGAGCTGGACTGGCCCCAGCAGTCGACCGCCTCCTCCTTCGTGACCTCCCCGCACCGGGATTGCCCGGGCCCGCTGGACTCCATCTACGGGCGCCTGCGCGAGCGGAACCTCTGCAACCACCGCGACTTCCAGAACATCGGTGTCAACGGCGCCGATGTCGTGTCCACCGTGCGCCACATCAAGACCCTGGCCCGCAACAAGGCCTCCGACCACCCGGTGCTGGTCCTGTTCGCCCTGATCGGCAACGACATTTGCTCCAGCAACCCCAGCGTCAGCAGCATGACCACCCCGCAGCAGTTCGAGGCCTCGGTTCGCGAGTGTACGTGCCCCACTGGTGGCCCTGTGGGCGTCTTCCTTCTCCCTTCCCCGGCACCTGGGTGTTTTGTTTGTGCCGCTGTTGTGTGCCGGTGTGTTTGTGTGACATTCCCCTCGAGCCGCCGACTGACGACACACCGTCCCTTTTCTTTTTTCCCCCTGCCTCGTGGCCCTTTTTCCCCTTCTCTCCGGCGGCCGGGCGGCCGGGTCGGGTCCCATCACACACAGCTCTCAAGTATCTGGATGAGAACACCCCGGCCGGTAGCAAGGTCCTGATTGAGGGCATTGTCGATGGCCGTGTGCTGTACCAGCACATGCACGACCAGATCCACCGTACGTGTGACCTATGCTGGGCATCTGTCCTCTTGCCCTCCTCTCTATTTTGGCCGCACTTCTACTGGTGCTAACTCTCTGTTCTCTGTTCCCTACTCTCTGTTCTCTGTTCCCTGCTGCCTGCTTTCTGTCCTCTGTTCCTTGCTGCCTGCTCTCTGTTCCGTGCTCTCCGCTCTCCGCTCTCTGCTGCCTGTTCTCTGCTGCCTACTCTCTGCTGCCTGCTCTCTGCTGCCTGTTCTCTGCTGCCTACTCTCTGCTGCCTACTCTCTGCTGCCTGTTCTCTGCTGCCTACTCTCTGCTGCCTGCTCTCTGCTGCCTGCTCTCCGCTCTCCGCTCTCCGCTCTCCGCTCTCCGCTCTCCGCTCTCCGCTCGCCACCCCCCTCCTTTCCTCAGCTCTGGGCGTCAAGTTCAGCACCCTCTACGACTACCTGAACTGCCTGAAGATTTCTCCCTGCGCCGGCTGGCTCAACTCCAACGCTGATGTCCGCAACGCCTCCTCCAACCATGCGGCCAAGCTGAACGATGTCTACCGCAGCATCCTCAAGAACACCACTTTCCGCAACATCGAGGTTGACTACATTGACTACCCGATCGCCGAGCTGATCACCCGCTGGGTGGTGCGTCTTTTTTTCCCCCCGCCCCTCCCTCCCATTTTGCCATGCACATGATGCGCATATATATATATGTTACATATATACATGCGCGGATGTGCTCTTGCAGGCCTGCACGCGCGCGTCCCCGTCCTTCGCTCGGCCCCGCCCCTCTCCACCTCCGGGTGTCGGGCCGGTCCGCGCGCGCCCCCCTTTTGGCTGCCACGGGCTGACCTCCCTCCCTTTGTGCTTTCCCCTTGTGCCTGTGCGGAATGCGCGCGAAGTCTCGCGGAGGCAAGGCCGTCGACCTGATCGACAATGTGGACGGCTTCCATCCCTCGCAGGTGACCAACGCCCTCCTGTCGGAGTATGTTTGGGAGTTCCTCATGAACAAGCACCCCTCTTGGCTGGGCGACCTGAACCCCAACAACAGCCAGATCCGCCGCCTCTTCGGCGACCAGGGCGGCTACTAAGTAAGCAGCCGACGCGCCCCACCGGAGGGGCGGTGGCCCCCCCCCCCCCTCCCCCCCCGGCGCCCCTCAGAGGCGGGAGAGGAAAGCAGGGCAATGCTCCCCCCTCCCCCTTTTTTTTTGCCGGAGGGGCAGGGGTATGCTTCCTGAAGTGCGACAGGAAGAAGAAGCCCGCATTCACTTCCCCTCGCTGTGTGTGCTGTGCCTGCCTTTGCGCCCCTCTCCTCCTCTCTCCGCCAGGGTGTCCCCCCCCCCCCCCCGGCGCACAGATACACGCTCCTTGTCAGTTCCTTTCCTTCTTCTCCCCCTCCTTCCTCCTCTTCACCGCGAGAAAGTTGCTGCTCCTCGCCTTGTCTGGATACTTTTTTATAGGGTCGCGCAGCACCTGTGTGCACGCGGGCACGAGAGGGGGGGGGGGGGGCAAAGAAGTGCGCAACAGGGTGTGTGTAGTGCTGGTGTGATGCATGTGTGGCGCACCAGGGCACCACACACAATCGGCGCTCCTCCTCCCCACTGTCTCTGTCTCTCTCCTCCCTTTTCCTTCCTTTCTTTGCAGACTGGCAGTTGTTTATCCTCCCGCCATCCAAGCGGATGTGCGTGACGGCGTCGTCGTCGCCGCCGCTGTTGTCTTTCCGCCCCGGCTCCCTTCTGGAGCTCGAGCTGGGAAATACAAAACAAGATATCCATCTGGGTCTCCAGAACAGGAGAGAAGGGATCACATGCTAGCGACCATCACACCACCGTACAATGGTCCTGCCCGGGCGGGGGAGGCTTTCTTTCCGGGGACGGTCGGGGCGGACGTTGCGCTATCTCCAATAGGAACAGCGCAGCCCATTCACTTCTCCGTGGAGGACCTCCTCGTTGGCTCTGGTGGGCCGAAAGCCCCAGGAGGGCGGAGGGGCGAGAGAGAGGGTCGCGGCGGCCGCGACCCTCCGGGCTTTTTTGTCGGCGCGACGGGTCGCCAGGGCTCCCCCTCCCGGCGCGCGTTTCGCGCCTGGGGGGGGGGGGGGGGTTTTCCCCCCCCGGGGGGGGGGCCAAATGGGGGGGGGGGGGGGGTGGTGGGTGTGGGGGGGGGGGGGGGGGGGGGGGGGGGGGGGGGGGGGGGACAAGTCGTGCGCCATTCGGTGCGCCATGTTCCCTGGACACGGCTGGGGCGGATGGCGGCCGCGGTGCCCCGTTCGCCCCCGGCTCTGGGCCCTGGGCCCGGGCAGGCTGGCGAGCGAGCCGGCCGACGGGCGAGCAAGCCGCCAGCCGAGAAGGTGTCAGGCACTGGCAACAGCCGTGGGGGGCCTCGCCCGGATGCTGGACGCTGCGGTGTTCGCCCACCAACTGTCCCGCCAATTCCGATGCTGTGGGGCCATGCTCCGTGTGTCCGTGTGTGTCTTTCTCTCTCTCTCTCCCCCTGCATGTGCGTGCATGTATGTTCGGGCCCGGTCGGCGCGTTGATCCGGCCGCTCAAAGACTTTACCAGGGGGGTGCCCGGCGGCCGGCCACCAGCCCCGGAAGCCTGGCTCGCTGCTCATGTGCTTGGGCAGGCCTCCGCGCCGGGTGGCTGAGGCGAGGCCGCGAGGCGAGCATGGGGGGGGGGGGGGGCCGGGCATGGAAACTGGCAAGGGGGAGGGCGTGCGCGCTTGCGCGTGTAGGCGCGCCTGAGTCTCCCCCCCCCGCCCCCTCCGGCCCCTGTCTCTCTCCTCCCCCCGGAGGGCAGGGCGTTCGCCGTCTCGCAAGGGGGTGTTCGCGCCAGGACCGAAGGCGTCTCCCGTGCGTTGGCCCCGGCGCCCACACCCGGCGCCCTTGGTGAGGCTTTTTAATTAGCATCGTAGTCATCCTCCGGCCCCGGGCTCCGGCCCCGTGCCGATGCCGTTCCCGGTCGGCGGGGGGCGGGGGCAGCCGAGCCCAACAGGGCGGAAGGCGTTCGACCGGTGGATTTCTGGCCCGGCCGCCTCGGCGACCGCCAGGCGATCTGATGGGCGCCCTGCAGGGGGCGGAGGCAGGGCCAGCAAAGCGCCAAAATGTGGCCACCTGCTCGGGGGATATTGCTTCCTCGCGTGCGAGCGTCGAGCGGGGAGGCGGCCGGGCCTCTCGGCGCCGAGCGCCGTCATTGTGCCGCACTGGGGGGGCCCCGCGCTGTGCTTCTTCTTCCTCCTCTGTGCGCGCGCGTCCTCCCTCTCCTCCTTGGGCCGGCCTCCCACCGCCTCCTGCGCGTGGGGTATCTCCCCTTCGCGCATGGCCCTCGGGCTCTTTCTGGCTGTCTCGCTCTCGCCGGCCGGGGCCCTCAGCGACGGGCCCTGGGCCGGTTCTGTGTCCTCCTCTCGCCCGGCCCGATTGTTCGCGAGAGAGTCTACGACCTCCCCGCCCTTTGCCGCCCCCCCCCCCC